CTGATGTGCCAATCATCAAGTAAGAATGCGTGGGACATATCCAGAAAAAAATCCGGAACAACTTGCGAAAGCTAAAGAAGGAATACAAGGGCGACAAAGTGAACGACAACAAACCGATTGGAGGCAGTGGGCGACTAACTAACGCCACTATTGACAAGCTGCGCGCCTACTACGGTATGGCCATTAGAGGTAACTCCAACAACATAGCCAGCATGAAACGAGCGATTTGGGCGTCCCTCCTATACAGATCATCAACAGATGCTGATCCACTCCATGGTTTCTGCCCAGAGGGTTTGCAGAGTAGGTACAAGTTTGAGGTGCAGAATGCAGGTGGTCCAGCCTCCACTCATGCGAACCCCATACCTAAAGCAGTCTTCACCGTGTTCTTGTCAAGCCCATCTACAGACGGCTGACGGATGACGACTTATTGCCGCTATGTCTGCGAGGTGCTACACAGAACTGCAATGAGCGTGTCAATGGTCTAGTGTGGCAGATACGCCCCAAAACTGTGTTTTGCTCTGCAAAAACAGTGCAGGTTGCTGTAGCCATCGCCACTGCTCGGTTCAATGATACTGCAGAGGCTGGTGAGTATACGACAGTTGCTCGTAGATATAAATGTGCCTGCACCGACAAAGCACTTGCGCGCCTGAACCTGCAGTAGAATAAGGGCTCTGCCAGGAACAAGTCTCCTGAAGTCAAGCAGAGCAGGAAGAAGCGCGGAAGAGTGAAGAAGGGTGTCCAGGACACAGATGAAGAAGTGTAAAGCGTCGTGTATGAAGCTGGTGGCTTCTAATGGGCCAGGGAAGCGTTTTTGCTAGATTCTTGTGCATATATTTCATAGCCTATTTCCCCTTTTTTTCTGCTGTTTTTGGCAGGTTCTGTGACCTTGTAACCAAGCTGGTGCATCACTTGTTGCCTGTAGACCCATGAATATTATAGTGTTCGAATCTGTGAACATTTCTCTAGGCACTACACCAAAGTTCTGGATGGCTACATCGTTTATATTGGAGTTCCCTTCGGGAACGGATACGATAATTTACTTATTTACTTACTTACATCGTTTATATTGGAGAATGTACCCCAAGAATTCAACGCTACCTTCATGTGCGTTCTTATGGTGTTTTTCCATTCTCTTGCTGTGCTGTGTGTTTCTCACTTTTTAAACTATTATTTTTGGCTTAGTGTCTTGCTAAGTTGCTATATGTACATACTATAATGTAGATATACATGTATGATTTGGTAAGAAGAATATAGGGAATGTGTGCTGGTCTGGTTAGATTGACAATAAGCGGAGGTACGAGGAAATCCACCCTGTCTCCTATACAGTGGATAGCATTTATGGTTTTTGGGCTTGCATTAGGACCTTTGGTACACACTGGAACCCTCCAAAAAATTTGATTGAATTCTGGGTAGGAATTCCAAGTTATGCTGGTTTTACTGTCGGCCGCCGTGATGACTAGAGGGCCGTGTTGGCATTGTCCGTGAACGAAAATCGTCTGCATCATCGCTTGAACCGAAACTACCTATCTGGTCGGTACCCGCAAGTGCGTATCGGAGGCACGTTATCCAAACCAGTATCTTGTTCCTGAGGTGTTCCCCAGGATAGTGTACTTGGTTCACTTCTCTCCATATTGTACAATCGTCAACTCAACGACAACCTTCCTAGTAGCTTAGTTCACCAGCAGTTCGCTGATGACTTTGTCTTGAAGGTATCCGGTCAGTTAAGCGCGTGACATTTCGTCGCAGGATATTTCGAGGTTGTCAATTCATCGAATGCCATTTCGCGACTGTACTGTTTCGCCGCTTGAATTTTTCGCCGAATAACACATTCGGCGACTACATTTCGAGTAGGTTTTATTTCCACCGCCGACTCTGTCGCCGAATTTCACTGAAAAGCAGTAAGCTTTGGTAACGGAATCCTTTATCTTGGCCCAGTGACTCAATTATGGACGCTTAATAGTACACCGATTTTACTGGCCTTACTTTGCAAGGCAAGCCCAAACTAGTCAAGGCTTGGTATGCCCACGTGCAAGACAAGACAGAAAGAAACGATACTGTTCAGAGGAGCTGCGAAAGAGAGACGACCTGTCCTGCAGAGGGTGCATGAAGCCAAAATAAAAGCCGCGCCGAGTCAGGACTCTTCCCACCAGATCGTCCGGTGGTCACTGGGAAAAAGGGTGAGCGGTGATGAGCTTACCATCTTCCGTAGCTCTGTTGCGAACAGAGCGCGGAGCCCGAAATGCAGCCAACAATGTTCGGCCCCCACCAACTGACTTGGGCACACTGGTGGTACATGTCCTGGATATGTACATGAAAGTGCACGGGGGAGGCATTCCTAACGTTTCAAGGTATTTTTGATATTCTGAAGGCCAGTATAACATTTTCATTATGTATTTTGCAACCAGGTGTGTTAGAGACAAGAGTTCGGCGAAATGTTGTTGTTTTGTTTATTTTAATTCGCAAATTAAACGGGCAGTTCTGCCCAATGAAAAGGTGGCGA